ATATTTAAAATATATATATATATATATATATATATATATAAAGATCTATTTACTTCAGGAATAAGTGTATCTATACTTACTTTATTCAATAACTCATGTTTTACATCAAATTTCAACGATCTTACCATTAAATTAAGAGTTTTTAATGTATAGATCAAGTTTGTAAAAATTTAAAAAATATAAAAAATATATGATATTCCATTAATTTCTTTAATACAAATCAATGAATAAAATGTTTTTGTGATTATTTGTGAATTTGAATTAATGAAACATGATATCAAATAGTTTTCAAATATTTTAAAAATTTGTAGTCTTGATTTATACATTAAAAAATTCTAATTCAATGGTTAGATTGTTGAAATTTGATATATATATACAATGAGTTATTGAGTAGAATAAGTTTAAGTAGACTTACTCTTAGAGTAAGTATATATATATATATATATATATATATATATATGTATGTATGTATGTATGTATGTATGTATGTATGTGTGTGTGTGTGTGCGTGTGTGTTTGTGTGTGTAGAGAGAGAGAGAGAAAGAAAGAGAAAGAGATCCACTTACTCTAAGAATAAATTTAAGAATGTAAAGAGGGATCAAATGACTCCAAAAGTAACTTTTAGTAAAGTTATTTCATTCAATAACTCATAGTATATGTTGAATTTCAAAAATTTAAGAGTTATTGTTATAGGCATTTGATTCCTCCTCCTCGTATGTGTGACACACACACGTCCCCCCTACACATGTATATAACATAAGAAGAATCCGATATTTAATTTACATATCAAGGAGAGATTAATGTAAAACATACGCACGTATAGAAGATAAGAAGAATTTGATATTTAATTTACATATCAAGGAGAGATTAATGTAACACACATACGTATATAACATAAGAAGAATCCAATATTTTAGGGTTCCTTCCTAAACTAAATTTACATATCAATCTAAACCCTAAATTTACATATCAAAGAGAGATTAATGTAATATTTAGATAAATTTCTTCATGAATATTTCTATGATAAGTAAATAAAAAAGAAAAAAGAAAATAATTATCTTATAAATCAAATTAACTTATATAAATTATAAAACATGTGTTGATAAAACTGAGAAAATTTCTCTAAAATAAATTGTAGTATAAACTATTTTAATCTTTAAATTAAAACTGTTTGATTTTTTTTTTTATTTCCTTCTTTTAGAAGTCTGGAGAAGTTTATTCTAATTTCTAAGCTACCAAAATTTGTGCTGTCCATTGAGCTGGCAAACATTGTACTAATAAGAATCAAGAAGGTGGATTTGGTGATGGAGGCATATGAGGAGGGTAAAATGAATTTGGCAATTGGAACCGACACATCACGTGAATTAGAAACAGCTTATTCATTTACCAACACAATGTACAAGCGACCATCGTCTCCTTTGGTGGAACCATCCTCTTTTTCTATTGAATTCGAGAGAGTTCCAAAGAGGAAAACTTCACCCATGTCATCCCATGCCCTACCATTTCCACTACTACTACTCATTTACTAACCTTACTCTAGGGTAGGTGTCACCATGCCAGATACTAACTTGGTCTTGGGTGGCTTATCTAGGACACCAATAGGTCATGTTTTATTTGCACTAGAGTTGACCTAATATTAAAAGGTTTAAATAATTTTGTATAAAATAATATGTTTAATTATTAAGCATATAAATTATTTAGTGTGAGGTTGTTTTAGTTAACAAGTTAGAGATTTTGATCTGAGTATGTAATTACCTTAGATATTTAGTATGATAAGTTTAAATTTTGTTACCATACTCGTAAAAGAAGTGATATTTTATGCAGAAGCTAGTTAGCAACTACTGTACTCAATCTATTATTCTTTTTCGCACGCAAATGAAACACTCCATAACTGGATAACTGTTATAATACGAGAGAGCATGCTAGGTGAATCAACATTTTGGTGCCTCAACAAAATTAGTAACATGACTTTTCCCCTTTTTACTTGTATAGTCTTCAAAATGTGATGTTTGTATTAAAAAAAATGTTCTTACAGTGATTTTTATACATTGATGTATTGTTAATTTTAGAGAAAATTAAATTAATTTAGAATGAAAATATTTTTTTGTAAATGTACGATGAGGAATTATAAATTGGGAAGGAGGGGGGGGGGGGG